GAGGTTCAGCATTGACTTCTGCTGTTGGCAGATTGGGCAATCAGGAGCGGCTGTAGCCAGACTGACCCTGATAAACAGAAGTCCATGTTGCAGAGTCCATGTGTAACCCCTATCCCTGCTGCCATGGCCATTTCTTTCATGACCCCATTGGGCAATGACTGGAGTGACCGAATCAGACAATCACGAGGAAATTGGTGTTTCTATAAAACCAATCTGTATACTTGAAACCCTTTAGAAAAGAGGGATTAAATAAAGAAGCAGTTCTAGAAGAAAAAAGGAAAAGAAACAAACTTAGGATCTAGATAGATACCATAGGTTAGTAATCTCAGGAATATCACATGGCAATATTATCAGTAAAGAAGAAAAGCAAATTACTGAATATTTGAAAGGAATGGGTGATTATTTTTCTCTCTCCATCTTTTCTCGTTCTTCTTTTATAATTCTTACACCAAGAAGACCAGAAACCATGTGTGAAACATAAGGGGGTATGGTTACACTCAGAGAGTCCTCAGCGTGTTCTGAAGGGAACAGATGTTAGGGGACCATGGCTCCCTGCAAATCATTCTTGCTTTCTAAATCTGCATTTTCTGCTCCCAGAGTCCTGTTTCTCCTTCAAATCCTGTGTTATGATTGCAGTTTTCTTCCTTCCGGGGGTGGGAAATGCATCCTGGATTTCTACTTTCCTTGGGGGTAGCTGTTTATTTCCATTCACAGATGATATTGTTATTGGTATAAAAAGTAGCAAGGATGCATAAGCCAGCATTTGGTGGCCAATGTTATGTTCAGGTCAATATTACCTAGTAAAATTATTGTGTATTTGTTACTGTATCACTTGAGTGAGTTCCCCTAATTAATATTTTTGTGTCTGTCACTGACTGATAAACTGTGTTTTTCATTTGCTTCTAGTACTCAAAGCCAATTCATCAAAATAGCTGGTTTTACATTTCATTAGGAGATCCAACCATCTATGTTAAAATTGTCAATATTATGCCTCTGATCCCAACATTTTAGTATTTTTATTTTTTAAAAAAGATTTTATTTATTTATTTGTCAGAGTGAGAGAGAGAGCATGAGCAGGGGAGGGACAGAGGGAGAGGGAGAAGCAGACTCCCTGCTGAGCAGGGATCCCGATGTGGAGCTTGATCCCAGGACCCTGAGATCATGACCCGAGCCAAAGGCAGACACTTAACCGACTAAGCCACCCAGGCGCCCCTGATCCCAACACTTAAAAATGATGTGGAGGAAAAAGCACTGGCCTAAGAGTCAGAGTGATCTGGGTGCCAAGCCCAGCTTGGCCTATAAAGACTGTACTTCATTCAGTCACTTAACATCTATGGCCTTCAGTTTATCCATTGATCAAACAAAGGAGCTAAACCAAGGACCCACTCTAAAGGAAATATTAAAAGGGTGTTCTACAATGGAAAAGGAAAATAATTGCAGAGGGAAGGAAGAAATGAAGAACAACAAAAAGTATATATATAAAACAATGTTAAAACATATATACAAATATATGTCTAAAATTATGGACTTAAAATATAAAACAGTAACATTCAGAGAGATAAACGAAATAAAAATATTCTAAAGTCTCTGCATTGAACAGGAAGGGGATAAAAATTCTAGTCATTACTGCATTGCTGGATTTTTTTTTTAAAGATTTTATTTGTCAGAGAGAGAGACAGAGACAGAGCACAAATAGGGGGAAGGGCAGGGGAGAGGGAGAAGCAGGCCCCCCGCTGAGCAGGGAGCCCCATTTGGGACTCGATCCCAGGACCCTGGAATCATGACCTGAGCTGAAGGCAGACACTTAACTGGCTGAACCATCCAGGCGTCCCTCGTTGAATTTTAATAAGTACAGGTTTGGTTTGCCAGAATTTAGTTTAGGATTTTTGCACATGTATATATTTGAGATATATAGCTCTCTCAAATTCTATATATGTCTATATATAGAATATATATAAATATAAAATAAAATACAAAATATATAATACATGTATAAATATATATATATAATTCTACATATAGTCTCTCTATATGAAACAATGCATCATGATGAAGTTGAGTTTATTTCAGGTTAGTTTTACACTTGAAAATAAATCTGGGTATATGACCTATGTAATTTTTCAGTCAAAATGTTTAATTTGAATTTAATCATGAGCAAAATTATACAAATTCAAATTGAAAGACATTCTTCAAAATGTCCAACTGGCTTGGATTCTTCAAAAATGTCAGTGTGATGAGAGGAAAAAAATAGAAAAATATTCTAGATTAAAAAAGACTAAACAGGGGGCACCTGGGTGGCTCAATCATTAAGCGTCTGCCTTCGGCTCAGGTCATGATCCCAGGGTCCTGGGATCGAGCCCCGCATCGGGTTCCCTGCTTGGCTGAAAGCCTGCTTCTCCCTCTCCCACTCCC